GGGTGTGGGTGTGGGTGTGGGTGTGGGTGTGGGTGTGGGTGTAAAATCAAAATGAAACAAATTGATTTCTATTTCTATGTAAAATATAAATCAATTGCTATATCTCAACTCTTGCTTTTCAGCAACCGATTTTTATTGTCGATAATAATAAATTTAAATTAAATCAAATATAAATTTGCTTAAAACAAAAAATCAATCAATAAATAAATGCAGATATATATTTTATTGCCAACGCGTTTCGTGTTATTTATTGAAATAATAAAACACTCTTCAGGGCTCTGCATTTACAATAAAAAGCATAATTTACAGCAAATCTGGAAGCAAAAATTAAGCAAAAATTAAGCAAGGATTAAGCAAAAATTAAAAAGAAAAGCTACAAAACGAAGCAAATTGAGATAGGGTATAAGTTTAATTTAAAATATGTATTTATGTTCAATGTTTATTGTTCCGAAGGACAAATCGACGAGCCAAATAAGTATATATAGTAGGATTAAATTGTAAATATTTGTATAGAAAAAGGTAATATTATATTTTATTTTTTGTTGAAGTATTTATTTTATATTTAATTCCTTTTATCATATAAATTTGTAGTTGTTGAGTTTCAAGTTCTATTTAAATAAATATAATTTTGTAGGTATATATATGTTTAGTTTTTTTGAAAAGTAATATAATAAATGATATATTAAATGATATAAATGATATTTATTTGTTATATTTTATATGATTTAGTATTTTATTTGTTTTTGTTTTGAATTAAATATATTCGTAAGTACTATTTTTTATTTATAATAATATTAATTTTGCAAGTATAATATGAATTGGCAATTGTTCTGAATAAATTATAAATGTAATATTGTAGTTTCTCCAATTCCATGGAAACTTAAATTTAATAATTATAAATTTGTGGATTAATATATAAATTTATGAATGTTCTATTGTAATTTATTTCGTTTTATCCAATTGTATTCAAAGTTATTTTAAATTCAAAACAATGTTCAATTCGAATAATATTAAATTTAAAATAATGTTCAATTCACATAATATTGAATTCATACTAATGTCCAATCCAAAAAGATGTTAAATTCAATTCTAACATATTATAAAATATAATAATTTCTAATAGAAACTGTTCAACCTAATATTTTGAATGTACATGAATTATAATCAAATATTTAAGAAGAGATCGATTTACGATTTTCTGGTTTATTCGTTGAAATACTAATTCAACTTCAATGCTTGAAACATAATTTGAATTTAAGTATAATATATTGCTTCTTCTTGTTGAATTTTCAGTAATTTAAACGCAATACATTGTTCCTTTTTTATGTTGCGTATGAAAATTTTATTAATGCTCAATAATTTCGATGTAATATATTGTTTTGTTTTTATATTGGTGATGAAAATTTTAAATGCTCAATTTCTATATAAAATTTTTAATGTTTTGTTTTTAATAATATATAAATTTGGGTTTTTATTTTGAATAAGTTTAAATTAAATATTGTGTTTATTTTTAATAAAGACTATGATAAATCTTTCTTTATTTTTAACATAATGTAAAAGAAAGTTTAAAAAGTTTATTTGAGTTTGTATAAGATAGTGTTATTATTTTGGATCACAAAATATAGCGTGTAGATAATATGATATAAAATATTACTATTTAGTTTTTATAATGTAATTAAATAATATTTTAAATTCAAAATATATTAATTTTTAGATTTAATTATATAATTGTAAAGATAATATAATATCATATAAAAAACTTCTAAATATGTTGTGTTTTGTAAATATTATACCTTATTTTGATATCATATATTGTTCAATTGATAAAATAATATAATACAATACAAGAACTTTTAACATATTTCGTAAATATTATATCTATTATATATATTATACCCTATTTTAATTTTATATATTGTTGGATTCTATTTAAAATAACATAATAGAGAAATTTGTGAATTCTATAATAGAGAAATTTTTGAATATAATTAAATAAAAATGTATAATAGAATTATAAAAATATAATAAACTTATAAGTGTGTAATATGGTTATAACTGTATAATAAGATATTTTGAATATAATAATATAATAAAATAAAATTGTATGAATATAAGGAAATTTATTATATAATTGAAATACAATAAAATAACACCCTCGAAGTTGAACATAATAATTGTTTTTATAGATTGAAATGGTGTTCTAATGAATTGAAATATGTTTCTTATTATAATAGTTATTCCTATAAATTTTTAAATATAAAACACTCTTTAAACATATATGTAATTTCTTATTATTTCTTATATATTATGAATAAAATTCACAATATTATCAGTTGTTTATTTTTTATTTTTTTATTTATTTGTTCTTTTATTTTTAAGATTTGGTTTGCACCAACCTTCTGTGTAAATTATTAACATTTATTGTACCTAAAACTGGTGTTATTTCATTTATTGGTAAATTATTGAAATATTTATTCCAGAGTTTATGAAATTTTTGTGGAAATAATTTCATCGTTGAACAATATGTAAAATGAATAAAGATTATTTGTTCAAAGTTAACTAAAGCTTTTTCCTTTATTCGAGCTTCTATAATTACTTGTCGGTATTTATTATAATTGTTAAATGTTAATGGTTGATCTATACTCCACTTTACTAAATTAATTTTAAATTGTTCTTCGATAAATTGATTCGGATATTTATTTAATAATAATGCCATTCTTAGTTTCTCCCTTTCATCTACATATGTATGAAATGTTGAGCAATATCGAATAGCTCTTAAAAGCATCGTATGAATTATATTTTTCTTCATATGTAATGGATGAATACTATTGAATGGCAAATAATATGGTTCATAAGATGGTTTTTGAAAAACTGAAGTAAACAGTAGTCCATCTTCATTTTCTATATGTAAATCTAAAAAATCAACTTTTGAACCAATGTTTTCAAAAAGTTTAATATTTTCATCGAATTTATTCCATCTGTCGATTTGTTTTAATAAATGTCTGTATGGCCAATTTATTGTTATAAATATATCATCAATATATCGAAAATATAGACCATTACTATTGTGAATTTGTCGAACTATTTTCCTTTCAAAAAAGAACATATAACAATTGGCAATAGTCAGAGTAAGAGGTGAACCCATAGCTCCTCCTCTAATCTGATGATAATATTGACCATTATAAGAAAAATAATTATTTTTCATGACAAATCGACTCAATCTAATAATTGTTTCAATTTTGAGACCACCAAGTTTTTTCAATTTTAAATAATCTAACATTTTCTTTAGAGAGAGTACTCCTTCTATTTGAGGCACCATAGTATATAAATCACCAACATCTATTGTACAAAATAATGTTTCTTGTTTTAAATTATTTTTAGACCATGTTTCTCGTTGTTTGACTAATTCAAAACCTGAATTAACTGTCGTCTCTTTAGCCATTTTATGAAAAAGTGGTCGAAGTAAATCATCAAGAAATTTTGAAATTTTTACAGTTGGATGTTTTAAACCTGAAACTATCGGACGAAGAGGCGTACCTTGTTCATGTGCTTTTGGTAAATAATATAAATGAGCTAATTCAACTTCATTTGGATTAATAGATAATTGTTCGAATTGTTTCTGAGTAATCCATTTAGCTAGACGAAGATCTAACAAATATTTATTTGTTCTAGTAATTAAGTCTGGTGATGGTTCTTCTTTTCCAAGACATTTATAGGCTTGTGTTTTTTCCATATAATATTCAGATTTTTTATTATAATCTTCTTCTCTACCTAAATGAAATACTTTTGATTTATCTGATTTTCTTAGAATAATATTCGCTGATTTGATTTTATATTTTAGTCTTTTGATTAATCTGTGATAAGTCTTTTTCTTTTTATTATTTTTTGGTGGTTTTATATTTATATTTTGTGATTGAGAGAATTGATTTTCTATGATTTGATTTACATTTATATTATTTGAAGTTTTAAGATTAATATTCTTATTTTGTTTTGATATTGGAATATTATGAAGTTTCTGAAGAAGAACATCTAATTCAGCTATAAAGTGAACAACTGGACGACCTGGTTTAATACCCTTTTGTAAAAAACGAGATTCTATCTTTCGTTTTAAGGTTTTTAATTCAATTGTTCGTCTTCTTGATGCTGTTTTAGGATCATTAAATATAAATCTTGGACCTAATTTAAGTAATTGATGTTCTTCTTCAGTTAATTTTAAATTAGCTTGGTTAATTATTGCTGGAGCGAGAATTCCTCGCCCAGTGACCGAGTTATAGTCGGAGCATTTGTTTCTATTTCTAGTTCTTTAAATTCGCTCTCGAATAACTTTTCGGATAAAAAATGAATTGATTGTTCAGCTTCTAAATTTAATCGTTGCTCACGTAATTCATGATATTGTTTAAATGCAGCAAAACTAGGCTCAGCATCGAATCCATCATCATTTTCTTGTGGAAAGCCTTGAATAATACGTTCAATTTCTTTTGTTAGTAATTCTTTTTCTCGAATTATTGATTGTGTATAGAGTGTCATGACTTTCAAACGAAAATCTTTTGCAATTTCACGCATTTGATTATATATAATTTGTATTTCTTCTCGACTAATAATAGATTCATCTATTTTAAAAGATAAATCAACTTTTTCAATAAATTTTGGTGGTAAATCATATTCAACACGTTTAGTTGCTATAAGAACATTTTTATTTTTAATAGCCCATGATTTCATTTTAGTTTTTAAGATAAGATGAAGATTTCATTGTGCTGGAGTCGCTATTTGTTCAAAATCTTCTAAAGCTTTGAATTCATCAATTTCTGCTTTAGCTAATCTTATACGATTATCAGCTAACTTTTTAATATGTTGAGTACAATGCTGAATATATTTTAGAATAGCTTCTTCAATTTTATCTATTTCACTTCGAATACGTTCCGGTGACATTATTGGTGTAGTTGTATTAGCTGTTGTAGTACTAATAGGTTGGGCTGTTGTTGTTGTTGTTAATACTGGAGTTTGTGTTTGATTTACTACTTGATTATTTGTATCAGTACGTTTACTTGTTCGTTTAGGAACTTGTGACCAATATGTTGCAAGTTGAATTTGTAAATCAGATATAGAAGCCCAAAGTTCAGCAATCGATGATGATAATTGACTAATTTTCTTTTGAATAAATCGTGTATTTTCAATATCATCACGTTTTTTTGTTCGTTTTACAACATCTTTAGCCCAATGTTTCTTTTCTATACCTAATTTTAAATATTGTTGCTAGACTTGTAATTCATAATTTTGTCTGACTCATTGATCATAAATAGATGTTGCAGCTAATACATAGGCTTGATTACCAAGTCCTTTAATAATTTCCGATAATGATAGATCATCTTTTAACCAAGCTAAAATTCTATTATTTTGAAGATATGCATATACTTTATTCTTTTTATCTTTCTTCTTATTATTTTTATTTTTATTTTTATTATTTTCTAGAACAACTACAGGTTTATTATCATCAATATTTGATTCAATGTCACTTGTTTCATTATCATCAGCACCAGCTAATAAAGCAAATCGATTCGTATTATTAGTACTAATACTGTTTTTTCGATTTTGTTGTGGATAATTCCGTTTTTGTTGACGTCGAAATGATGCAGTAGTTATTTTTCTTTGTTGATATGAATCTGTTGTTCTAGCTGTATTATTTTGATTATTAACAACAAAAGGTTGAGTAGTATTATTAATAAATCTTGCTCGTTGAGGTAATGCATCTGGTGGTGCAGGATTTGTATTATTTTGTAAATTAAAATCAGAAGGAAGACTTGTTGATCGACTTCTTAATTCTGTTGGCATAAAATCATTTAATTTTAATTGCCTTGGACCACGTTGTTGAGTTCGAATTAAACTTGGTCTTCTTTTGTTTAATCGATTTTGACTACTTCTTCTTTTAATATGTTGCTGATAATATTGTTGTGGTGGTTGATAATAACGATTATAATAAATTTTTTCACGATATAATCTTCGATATCCATTCTGAAAATTTTGATAATAGTTTCTCCTATTATATTGATTAAAATTTTTTCACGATATAATCTTTGATATCCATTCTGAAAATTTTGATAATAGTTTCTCCTATTATATTGATTACACGGTAAATTTCTTAATCTTGGTATGTACCGATTATTTTGTGGAGGAATAAAACGATTGTTTCTAAATAGATATTGATTATTGGCCCGTGAATCCCCACCATTACTGCGTTGACGAGAACGACTACGAGTTATACCATAATATTGTAATTGTTGTGGTGGTTGATTACTTACATTTGTATATGTATTTGACGACATTTTAATCGTTGAATAAGTTGAGAAATAAATGGATCAAATTTGAACAAAGATTATTCAATAAATTTAATGCCGAATAATAAAAAATGAGTTGTAAAATCAAAATGAAACAAATTGATTTCTATTTCTATATAAAATATAAATCAATTTGCTATATCTCAACTTTTGCTTTTCAGCAACCGATTTGTATTGTCGATTATAATAAATTAAAATTAAATCGGATAGAAATTTGCTTAACACATTGGGCACGATTCAGTTTTCGTATGAAATTTCTGCAAGATGTCATTTTTATGAATAGTTCACTTCTAATAAATGCACTTAATGACCCTTTCGTTATCTTCTACTGATTATTTATCGTTCTCTTTCTTGTATTACTACATAATGAATCATTTTTCGCGAGTAACTAGAATTGCCTGAGTCAATTTTTCGTTCTTTTTCATGTTA